AGTACAAGAAACCACCCATTTACCGATTTCAACTATCCAATAAAGTGGTCAGAATTTAGCAATTTTGCCAATTTCACACAAATTTCAAAAGATGCCAATTTCCAAATAGGGTCCAGAATAAACAAGAAAGACATTCCTGGCACTAAAATAACAAGTTCTGTTCGTTAGTCACATCCCCAGACCCCTCTTATATTTCTTTGGCTTTCCACTTTGAATTTTTATTCTTACAAAATAAATAAGATTTACTATTATGCAGACTACTGCATTAGTGTAGAAATGGTATAAATAATATCAGCGCACTTGTGAAAGAATATTAGACTCACCAGTTGATGTGTATTGGATGCATGGCATGATTTGTTTACTTTTGAACTTTGGTAAAAATCGAACATTTCTGCTACTTTGAGCTCAATTTCAAGGTACTTTTCATTGTAAAACCAGTCAAAATCATCTCAATTTCTGTAATATGTCTTCCATTCTATAAAATGAGACCAAGAAAACTAGAATACAACAATAAATACCATACGAAAATACAGTGCAAATTCGCTGTTTTAATCCAAAAACACTGTCAAAGTTTTTTTTTTCTCATTACGTACTGTTTGCTGCAGGATTTTTTTTATACTGCGCACATTGACCACATAGACCCATTCTTACATATGTAGGCCTACCAGCTTTCTCTCACTAGATTTGAGGGCGCTAGAATTTAGGCGTACTAGTACGTCAAAAACCCTGGGCCGTAAGACGTACTAGTATGTCCGAAACCCCCAAAGGGTTAACTCTTGAACACGGGCAAAAATCAAACATTTCTGCTACTCTGAGCACAATATCAAGGTATGAAATATGAAAATACACTGCAAAGTCAGTTTTACACCAAAAACACGGTCGCAATTTTTTCTTATTATGCACTATGTGCTGTAGGATTTTTTTTTATATAATGCACACTTACCACACAGGCCTATTCTCTCATATGTAGGCCCAAATTTACCAGTCACAGCTTATCTGAGTGAGCTTCAAAGCCATTGAACTATGTACGGTGTATGTGCTTTACACAACGAGAAGCATTTCTTTTATTAGTTGGAACCATGGCTAGGGCTAAAAGCGAGCAGGTTATAACAATAAGTGGAGAAAAACAAATTGGAATGACTTATGCAGCAAGTAGCGCCACCGAACAATAGTGGCAGGTTGGTGTGGCGACCCTTGAAATTTGAAATTATGCTAGCCGAAATTAGGGCTGGATTACTGATTGCCAGATTAGTGATGGCTGGATGGCTGACCTGTATTACCTTCCTAAGATAATATTTGGAGTATGGAAAAGCTGATACAGAAGCTTATGAGGGCCGTGCACAATATGTTCTGCTAAGAAAGGCTATGAGATCATATATTAAAAAAAAAAAAAAAAAAAAAAAAAACGTACAGAAGAAAAAAAGTTACTGAAATGCTAAAGTAGAAGAATATGTCACAAGAAAGAGGAGATATTCTACACTAAGAGATTAGCAATATAAAACCAAAACCAAAACATACATTTTGGAAGAAGCGCAAATGAAACAAAAACCAATTCAGGAAATAACAAAACAAAAAATCATTAATATTTCTATTATACACAAAACTAAGGGTGTGCCAAAGTGTTGGTATCAGTATGGTATCACTATCGATAAAAAAATGGCCGATACCAGCCAATACTCTTGAAATATTAATAGTATTATATTACACATGTGCTTAAAAATAGTACAGTTAACATTCTACCTCACAACTTTGAAAGTTTAACTAAGACAAAAATACACACAAACAGGTGCACACACACATGCAAACACACATACACAGATGCACACACACATGCAAACACACATACACAGATGCACACACACATGCAAACACACATACACAGAGTACAGTGGACCCCCGGTTAACGAACTTTTTTCATTCCAGTAGTATGTTCAGGTGCCACTACTGACCGAATTTGTTCCCATAAGGAATATTGTGAAGTAGATTAGTCCATTTCAGACCCCCAAACATACACGTACAAACGCACTTACATAAATACACTTACATAATTGGTCGCATTTGGAGGTGATCGTTAAGCGGGGGTCCACTGTACTTGGAAGAGATATATGGGAGGAAATGTAAGAGAGAGAGAGAAAAAGCAGGGTCACAGTGGACGAAACAAGAGAAGCCTGTGTTAACATCTGTGGCCCAAGATTATTCAACCTGCTAGCAGCCGATATCCAAAACACTGTCAGAACAAGTACAGAAGTTTTCAAGAGAAAGCTGCATCAATACCTCTGCTAAGTACCAGATCAACCAGGCTGCCATGACTATGTGGGTCAGCAAGCTGCTAACAGCAACAGCATGGTTGAAATGGCAATCAACAGAAAAACCCAACTCTAGGTCAGGCTGCAAGGATAGAAAACTCTTAGCACCAGTCACAGATATATTACAGGCATGTCTGATGCCCCTGGGGATTATGACAAAGACACACACAATACTCAAGAAGAACAAAGAGACTGGATAATGGTAGTTTGTTTGCAATGCAACAATAATACACAAAAGAACAAATTAAACATTCACAGATGAATCATGGGGATATTAGAAATTACTTTTTCAGTCTCAAAGTAGAAAGAAAGTAAATAACAAAAAGGCACAATACCGTGACTGGAACGATACACAAATAACCCGCACATAAAAGAGAGAAGCTTACGACGACGTTTCGGTTCGACTTGGACCATTGACAAAGTCACACTGACAGAGGTGGAGCAGGACGGCTATATATAGGCAGGAAGAGGTGGAGGTAGTAGTAGTAGTAGTAGTAGTAGTAGTACAAGAATTGTATATAATACCGACAGGATGAAATGACACATGCAGAACACCCGGGCATCCCCACCGTAGACATTTCGCGAAATGTCTACGGTGGGGATGCCCGGGTGTTGTGCATGTGTCATTTCATCCTGTCGGTATTATATACAATTCTTGTTCTACTACTACTACCTCCACCTCTTCCTGCCTATATATAGCCGTCCTGCTCCACCTCTGTCAGTGTGACTTTGTCAATGGTCCAAGTCGGACCGAAACGTCGTCGTAAGCTTCTCTCTTTTATGTGCGGGTTATTTGTGTATAGAAAGAAAGTAGAATGAACTAGAAATGGAACTGAGGATACAAGCACCACACAATACTGTAGTTTTAAAAGATGAAATGATAGGAATCAAGAGGCCAGAAGCCATAAATGCCGGTTGCTGAAACTTAACAGGTAGAGCCAGGAGCTAAGGCTCAACCCCAGCAAACACAAATTGGTGAGTCCAGGTTTACCAGTGTCACAAATATAATATTAACTGTGTTTCATCATCAACTAACACACAGCTAACTCGGTGTGTTGCACCAATACCTAACACAATACTAACTCAATGTGTTGCATCATCAACTAATACAATACTACTTCACTGTGTTCCACCATCACCTAACACAATACTAATTCAGTGTGTTGCATCTTCAACTAACACACGACTAACTTGGTGTGTTGCATCATTACCTAACACACTACTAGCTCAGCGTATTATACCATTACATAACACAACACTAATTCAGTGTGCTCCACCATCACCTAACACAATACTAACTCAGTGTTGCACAATCACCTAACACAATACTAACTTAGTGTTGCACCATCACCTAACAAAATGCTAACTTAGTGTTGCACTATCACCTAACACACTACTAAGTGCTGCACCATCACCTAACAATACTAAGTGTTGCACCATCACTTAACACTATACTAACTTAGTGTTGCACCATCACCTAACACACTACTTAGTGTTGCACCATCACCTAACACAATACTAAGTGTTGCACCATCACCTAACACAATACTAACCTAGTGCTGCACCATCACCTAACACAATACTAAGTGTTGCACCATCACCTAGCACAATACTAACCTAGTGTTGCACCATCAGCTAACACAATACTAACCTAGTGTTGCACCATCAACTAACACAATACTAACTTAGTGCTGCACCATCAACTAACACAACAGTAACTTAGCATTGCATCATCAACTAACACAATCCTAACTTAGTGTTGTACCATAAACTAACACAATACTAACTTAGTGTTGCACCATCACTTAACATTATACTAAGTGTTGCACCATCACTTAACACTATACTAACTTAGTGTTGCACTATCACCTAACACAATAGTAACTTAGTGTTGCACCATCACCTAGCACTATACTAACTTAGTGTTGCACCATCACCTAGCACTATACTAACTTAGTGTTGCACCATCAGCTAACAATACTAAGCATTGCACCATCACCTAGCACTATACTAAGTGTTGCACCATCACCTAACACAATACTAACTTAGTGTTGCACCATCACCTAGCACTATACTAACTTAGTGTTGCACCATCACCTAGCACTATACTTAGTGTTGCACCATCACCTAGCACTATACTAACTTAGTGTTGCACCATCACCTAGCACTATACTAACTTAGTGTTGCACCATCACCTAGCACTATACTAACTTAGTGTTGCACCATCACCTAACACTATACTAAGTGTTGCACCATCACCTAACACAATACTAACTTAGTGTTGCACTATCACTACTTAATCATGATTACCTTGTTAATGCTTCAGTTTGTTTAATATTGAAGGCTATCTCTTGTTGCAACATTTGTTGCTTCAGTTGTTCTGCTTCAAGTTGCCGTCTTGACAATTCTTTCAATATTTCACTCTGTAGCAAATAGAAAATATATAAAAAATAAAAGTGTTTAAAAGAAACACATAAAGCAAACATATACAGCAAAAGAGAAATAATAAATAAGAGAACTTGTAGACTGCAAGCTGTCAGGCAAGCTGAGGTTGCAGATGTGTGAGACCAACGACGTGCTCGGGGCTTGTAACGTGCACTCACGGCTACACCTGCGTACACCTGCACACTTGCTTTAAGACAAAAAGGACCTGAAGCAAATTTAAAAATCACTGACAAGTGTAAACTGACTTACCGAACAAGGTCATCCTGAAAGAGGCTCTCCATCTCTGCTTTCAGAGTATCCAGTTCTTGCTGTATCCGTTCCTATTGTACCATGATTAGTTGCAAAACTTTTATTTCAAGAACACAAATAGATATTTTCTCAATTAATATTTACAATAAAATTCTGGATACTAAACTTACAAAAAAAATGCTGACTGAAATATTAATAGTGAAGCAAATTATTTTAACACTTATTAACTCTTGACAGAGTGTTCTTCATTAAGCAAAGATACATACACAAGATGGAAACTGTTGCCATATCAGACTCTGTATGTTACATAATATAGTACACTACTATATTCTCTCTATTGATCAGCTGTGAGTTATATTTTATATTATATTGTTTATTATGCACAAGGCAGTTAATAGTTCCCTGACTCACCTACAATATTAATGCATAATGCATGAGCTTGCTACTAGAATTGCAACTTGTGTACTGCATTATAGTATTACTCATCAGCTGGATTTGCAGATCCATGACTGATGTAAAGTGTTATACTGCTATCAGTGATTTGGTTCCCAGATCTAGAACTTACATTGCTATTAAACTGCCTGACTTACACAGCTATTAAAATCAAACCATACCCCCGGCCGGGATTGAACCCGCGGTCATAGAGTCTCAAAACTCCAGCCCGTCGTGTTAGCCACTAGACCAGCTAGCCACAATAAGATTCATCCAACTAGGTATATTTCTACACCATAGGAAGGTTAGCACAGGCACCACTGTGACCACAAATGCAAGTTTTTACAGACGAATCTCCAGCTAGCGTGGCCGTGACGAACTCTAGCTCAAGTCCCTTCACTGCAATTGTGTCATTACTATTTCTTGAGTCATGTTGACGGCAGTGAAGGGACTTGAGCTAGAGTTCGTCACGGCCACGCTAGCTGGAGATTCGTCTGTAAAAACTTGCATTTGTGGTCACAGTGGTGCCTGTGCTAACCTTCCTATGGTGTAGAAATATACCTAGTTGGATGAATCTTATTGTGGCTAGCTGGTCTAGTGGCTAACGCGACGGGCTGGAGTTTTGAGACTCTATGACCGCGGGTTCAATCCTGGCCGGGGGTATGGTTTGTTTGCAATCGTGTCATTACGATTTCTTGAGTCAGCTATTAAAATGTCTGTTCAACTGATACTATGTGTGAGTCTGAAAGCTATAAGCATCCAGAACACATCCCTCACACATACAGATGGAACACAGTATAATACTTAACAATGATGAAATAAGTTTTCTCTATAAATGAATTTCTTATAATTTAAGGTCTAAACATTAATTTATGTTTAAAAGTAATATATGAATTCTAAGATAAATACCAAGATCTGAACTTTGGTTAATATTTTTGTTAGCACAGTACTTTAAGGTGCTAAAATAACTAGGATAAAAATGTTTATCCTAAGTTTCATGTGCACCATCTTAAATTATTGGGATCCTATTTAAATGATAAAACTTAAATTCTTTATCCACTAATACAACTTCAAGTTTCTAAAATATATTAATTTATTAGTAGAGTGTTCCCTTGCTTAACAAACATACGTATAAACTGAAGGAAAGATCATGAAGTGAAAAATATGTTGAGAGAATCACATTTTCCTAAGGAAGCCCATATTATACCTTGAGATGAGGACCAAGACAATAATACTTCCTAAGGAAGCCCATATTATACCTTGAGATGAGGACCAAGACAATAATACTTACTAAGGAAGCCCATATTATACCTTGAGATGAGGACCAAGACAATAATATTTACTAAGGAAGCCCATATTATACCTTGAGATGAGGACCAAGACAATAATACTTCCTAAGGAAGCCCATATTATACCTTGAGATGAGGACCAAGACAATAATACTTACTAAGGAAGCCCATATTATACCTTGAGATGAGGACCAAGACAATAATACTTCCTAAGGAAGCCCATATTATACCTTGAGATGAGGACCAAGACAATAATACTTACTAAGGAAGCCCATATTATACCTTGAGATGAGGACCAAGACAATAATATTTACTAAGGAAGCCCATATTATACCTTGAGATGAGGACCAAGACAATAATACTTCCTAAGGAAGCCCATATTATACCTTGAGATGAGGACCAAGACAATAATACTTACTAAGGAAGCCCATATTATACCTTGAGATGAGGACCAAGACAATAATACTTCCTAAGGAAGCCCATATTATACCTTGAGATGAGGACCAAGACAATAATACTTACTAAGGAAGCCCATATTATACCTTGAGATGAGGACCAAGACAATAATACTTACTAAGGAAGCCCATATTATACCTTGAGATGAGGACCAAGACAATAATACTTCCTAAGGAAGCCCATATTATACCTTGAGATGAGGACCAAGACAATAATACTTACTAAGGAAGCCCATATTATACCTTGAGATGAGGACCAAGACAATAATACTTCCTAAGGAAGCCCATATTATACCTTGAGATGAGGACCAAGACAATAATACTTCCTAAGGAAGCCCATATTATACCTTGAGATGAGGACCAAGACAATAATACTTCCTAAGGAAGCCCATATTATACCTTGAGATGAGGACCAAGACAATAATACTTCCTAAGGAAGCCCATATTATACCTTGAGATGAGGACCAAGACAATAATACTTCCTATACATTCATCAAATACTTACTAAGGAAGCCCATATTATACCTTGAGATGAGGACCAAGACAATAATACTTCCTATACATTCATCAAATACTTATCTGTGTACATTTAATGACCTTAAATGCAGTAGGGCGGACATCACCAGAAAGCAAACCGCATTGTTTTCCACTTATAAAAGCATATAAATGCCGGATAACAAGTTTACACTAACATATATTACATTAGCATTAGAACTAGGCATTAAAAACAATAAAAAGTAAAATATATACAGAAACTTGTCCACAGGGTCCAAGAATTTTTGAAAAAAAATTCTGTTATTTTTCTTATGAAATGGTAGAGAATCTTATTCTGAAGGTAATAAAACAAAAAGTACGAAATTTGATGGAAAATTAACAAAATTATGCTCTCACAAATTTTGCTGCAGACCGGGCCGCGGGGGCGTTGACCCCCGAAACTCTCTCCAGGTAAACTCCAGGTAAACACATCAGCAATTTTGCCGACTTTGACTCCCATTTTAGACCAATTACATTATTCTAGGTGACCAAATTCTTAGCTATTTCGCTAGTACATGTATTACTTCTATTTTATTGATCGAGCACAAGAAATTGCCCAGTCAACTCCTTCAACTACTCAATACAGTGATTGGAAATTGGTAATTTGGCCAATTTCACACAAAGTTCAAAATACTATTCCAATTTCAAAATAGGGTCCAAAATAAACAATGTAGGCATTAGTCCGACTAAAATAACATTTCCTTTGTGTTTTAGTTTTCAGGCTTTACAAATGAATTCCATTTTTATTTTTTATTCACATAATGAATTTTTATTCACACCAAAAAATACTGTAATAATTGCATAAATAATATCAGCACATTTGTGAATGCACATCAGAACCACCAGGTGACATGTATTGGATGCATGATGTCATTTGTTTACTGTTGAACATCAGAAAATTCAAACATTTTCACTACTTTGAGCTCAGTTTCAAGCCATTTTCAGCACTAAAACCAATCAAAATCATCTCTATTTCTGTAATATATTTTCCATTCTATCAAATGAGACCAAGAAACTGCAAATACAACTATAAAGAACATATGAAAAAACACTGCAAAGTGGCTGTTTTAACGTGACTCAAGAAATCGTAATGACACGATTGTAAATAAACCATACCCCCGGCCGGGATTGAACCCGCGGTCATAGAGTCTCAAAACTCCAGCCCGTCGCGTTAGCCACTGTGGCTAACGCGACGGGCTGGAGTTTTGAGACTCTATGACCGCGGGTTCAATCCCGGCCGGGGGTATGGTTTTTTGGCTGTTTTAATCCAAAAACACAGTTACTGCTTTTTTTTTTTCTCATTATGTACTGCATGCTGCAGGGCTTGTTTTATGTGGTGCACACTTACCACATACATATATTCTCTCATGTCTAGGTGGAAATTTACTGCTCACAGCTTATCTGAGTGAGCTGAGCTCGTGGCATAGAACTGCAGCTCAGTCCCCTGGTTCAAAGCCATAGAACTATGGGACAGACTCTCAAAGGGTTAATGTAGGGTGAGAGGTGAGTAGTATTTATTGTAAGAAGTAAGGTGTGGAAGGTATAGTAGCCAGCCAGGCCACCACACCCACACGTAATATAATATGACATTTAAAGTGCCCCAGAGTGATAAAATGCATATACAGTACACTCATTACATACCTTAAAATATTTGTAGCCTTGCTGTAGCACGAGAGGTGAGTAAACGGGGCAAAATGAATAAACGAGAGAGAAAGAGAACGAATAAATGAGAGAGGAGAAAGATGTAGAGGATGTAAACAAACAAACGAACGCATCTGGTTATGGTTGATATACATTCATCTACACAACATCTCATATTTATGTTAATTCATTCTACTTTGGAGTATATTCATCATGTTTATATGTTACGTAGCGTGTTTATTATATAATTTTGAAAAAAATATCATAGATGGATTAATGAAAATGTTTACATTAATGTAATATATGACATTTAACCCTTTCAGGGTCCGTCCCGTACATCTACGGCTTTACGTTCAGGGTCCAAACCGTAGATCTATGCAATGAGCTCAGCTCACTCTGATAAACTGTGAGTGGTAAATTTGGGCCTAGATATGAGAGAATACATCTATGTGGTATGTGTGCACCACATAAAACAAATTCTGCAGCACACTGTGTATAATGAGAGAAAAAAACTGAGACCATGATTTTCAATTAAAACAGCAAATTTGCAGTGTTTTTTCGTATGTTTTTTATAGTTGTGTTTGCGATTTCTTGGTCTCATTTGATAGAATGGAAGACATATTACAGAAATAGAGATGATTTTGATTGGTTTTAGCACTGGAAATTACTTGAAACTGAGCTCAAAGTAGTGGAAATGTTATTTGCCAATGTTCAAGAGTAAACAAGTGACCTCACACATCTAATACACACCAGCTGGTGGGTCTAATATACATTCACAAATGTGGTGATGATATTTATACAATTATTACAATATTGCATGACAGTAAATCTATTTTTTGGTGTGAATAAAAATTCATTATGTGAATAAAAAATCAAAATGGAATTTATTTGTAAAGCCTCAAAACGTAACTAATGAACAGAGGAAATGTTAGTTTAGTGCCAGGAATACCTACATTGT